TTTTTTTTTTGTAGATGCTGGTTATCTATATCCTCTGGCCTGATTTGGACATTTATTGGTCCCTCTCTTACTATTGTGTTGGTAGGTTTTTCTATGTCAGTGTTTTATACGCCATCAACATATTGTAAGGCTAACATAACAGAATACAAAAACCTCTGTCTGTCAAAACTATGTAGAGTGTGGCCTAAGCCAGAGATGTTTGTATGGAGCACAGTAACTACCTCCTCCCCGCTTCTCCCTCCTCCTCTTGGTATAGTGTGATAGCCTGCTCTATACCGGGGTTTAGGTATCTACAGTTTAAAGCGGACGCGCTATATCGCTTGGACGCGAGACACTTCTAAAGGTGTACGGTAATCTTAATGTTACCAGTGACTAATTGTTAGTTTACTCTCTCTCATAGATAAACGGCATTATATCTGTACTGGTTTTACGAGCCATGATGACAAGTCACAAAATGATGGCTGCGGCAGACAAAGAAAAGATCAAGTAAGAAACAAACAGCAGCAGTAAATACGTTTGAACCGTTTGAATTCCGATAACCTGAAAGGACACCCTGATAAAAACTAAATCAAGGGTCTATCTATGCGAGTATCGTTGCAAAAAGAGTATAATTGTATGATTGATTAATTGATTGATAAGAAAATTGTATTGAAATCACATACAATTGTACCTGAGTGATTTTATATTACTACGAGGCTATACTTTGTGACTGAGTCCTTAAACTCAATGTTGCAATCTTGGTATAAACGATTTTTAGAGTGAATGGAAAAAACGTGGTTTTGAAATTAAATGGATGTGAATAATCGATAATAACTGGGTTTTCTTCAAAAACGAATATCCTAAACTGCTATCCTCATAATAGAGGTAAATCCACAATCTCTAGAAAATATAACACGACTAGAACGTTTAAAGAAGATTTCGTGACTAATAAAGCTACTCCTGTGTCCTGTACTTTATGTAACGTCTTTGTCACATACTCTTTTGGCTCTATTTGTTATATTAAAAGGTTAAGATGACCAATAAGGGCCGATTTTATATTTACCGAACAATAATTCAATAGGAATTCCTGTATCTACTCACAGCTCTGTCCTTTTTGCCATTTTAGGCGTGGTATAAAGTGTTCCATCGTACTCATTCCTCTACTTGGAATCACATGGGTGTTTGGTGTCCTGGCCTTTGATCAAGCTACAGTGGTCTTTCTTTATTTGTTTGCAATCTTAAACTCGCTTCAGGTTTGTTTATTCCAAACATCTTGATATCGATGACTTTTTTCAACAACACGCTTTCACCAGGCATTCTCTTGCTTGCATGCTCCAGTTTTATTAACCCACAATTCGGATTTGCTGAAGGAAATTAACAATCCCTCTTTTTATTTCCTTTGCAGGGCTTCTTTATATTTGTTTTCCACTGTATATTTGATCAACAGGTTTGTTACTTCATTGTTGGGTTTCAATTTAATACATAGTAGAACACTTTCCAAATTCTTGTAGAGATTCTCTCGTCACGGTCGAAGCCACACTTTTGCTCAGTTTAGATTTCGTTCTTTTCTCGGTCTTCACATCTAAAATGGCACAAATCAAGATAGAATCTCAAACAATAAACAAAAAAATCAAAGGGGGGGGGGAATATTTTGCTATTAGGTGAGAGACTTGCGTAAAACGCCCTTACGATATTACTTTTTCAACAATGTACCGACATGGCGGTGGTAATGGGTTTCATGCAGTTGCGGATCCAGACCTTGAGCTAAGAGAGGAGGGGGGAGGGTCGGTTTTGTTTTGCTTGCCCTGTGGCTTTTCTTCCTTCTGTGATTTCTTTTTTTTGCCCACAATAAGGGGTAATAAAGGATCTCTTATTCGTGAAGGTACTGAAACAGGGATGGCGCAGTGGTTAGAACGCTCGCCTTCTACCAATGTGGTCCGGGTTCGAATCAGTGACCCGGCGTGATAAGTGGGTTGAGTTTGTTGTTGGTTCTCGCCTTGCTCTGAGGATTTTTCTTCGGGCTCTCCTGTTTTTCTCCCTCCGCAAAATAAACTCTCTAAATTCCAATTCGATCTGGAAACAGTGGACAAAGAGCCTCTCCGAGGGATGTGCCACTGCAAATTCTCATTTCTTTCTTTCTTTCTTTCTTTCTTTCTTTCTTTCTTTCTTTCTTTCTTTCTCTCTCTCTCTCTCTCTTTTTCTTTCTTTCTTTCTGTCTGTCTGTCTGTCTGTCTGTCTCTCTTTCTTTCTTTATTTGTTTATTTATTTTATAATTCATTTCACTCTTAATTCGTGTCATTCGGATATAGTAACTCATTTCACGTTTTTAAGGTTCGGTCAGCGATTATTATGTGGAAAAGAAAACGTCAACGAACAAGCTATGCATCAGGGAAGGAAACAACTCAACAAAAGGTATTCACATTAGATAACGCTTTACCAGGTGATTCAGTGATGTGGAAAGTCTGTGACCGATAAACTTTTGGTAAACGAAGTTAGCTTGATATTGAATTAATTGCAGGTTACTGTTTTCAGGTCGAGTATCGCATGTTTCGACAACAGTTGACATAAATTTAGAAAATACTCTTCAAGAAAGCTCGGTAGAAACCGGAACCAGCACGAGCTGTTGACGTACTGATCACTGATGAAAGAAAATTTACATTTTCACGATTTAAAAACTTCCACTTGTGTTTCTATGAGGTGAT